CCCCTCCCGGCGGGGCCGCTTTCTCGGCTGTGACGCCGCTGGGTCACGCACGACGCCCGGGCCGGAAGCGGAGCCCGCCGTCCCGGCTCCCGCGGCCATGATACGGACAGCGTTCCGAGCTGCCCGCGGGCTTCTGGGAGGGAAGGCACCGGAGGGCCCGGCCCCCGTCCCGGACTCCGTAGCTCCCGATGTACCCGCCGCAATGCCTGCTGGGACTTGAAGTTCATGGCGCCCAGGCCGAAAGCCCTTGTGTGTTCACAGTGAAGTGTCTGCGTCGACTTCACAGAACGTGTACTAAAGACACGGAGCTACGTGTAAGTCGTTGAAAAACATCAGCCTTTAAGAAATACCGAAAATCGTGACAAGGAGCACACACAGAGGAAACTTTGTTTAATCAGTGTGTATTAAAGCCAAAAATTACAAAGGTCCCCAGCGGCATCTCAATCAAGGTGGAGAAATAGAATATACTCAGCACTCCAGAAATCTTTTTTTTTTTAGAGGTATTTTTGCTATAGGGCATGTGTGCTCACCAGACAGACAGACAGAAAGCGAGAAATCACCCCCCAGGGGGGATGGCCACGCAGCAATCCCTTCTCCTCCATTCTCCTCTCGGGATCTTGGGCACGCAGGCACACGCGCCTGGCGTGAGTTTTTTTTTCCCGTTTTTTTTTTTTTTTTTTTAATAATTTTTTCTTTTCTTTTCTTTTATTTATTCATTCATCTATTTTTTTAGTTTGACCAGAGAGAGAGAGGGTAACAGTGAGAAAGAGAGGAAGTGAGAAAGTAAGCCACCAGATTCAGGACTTGAACCCTGGTCAGCCATGTAGGAGTGTCCAGCGCCTTAACCACCACACCACCTGCTGGTCCAGCGACATAGCCATTATGCTAACTGCTGGTCCCATCACTCCAGAAATCTTTAGGCAATTAATTTTTTGTGTGTGTGTTGGGGGGGGGGAAATTGAAATTTAAAAAATTTTTATTTTTTAAAATGTTATTTTAACCATTTTCAGGATACAATTCAGAAGTTTCTATTACAGTCACATTTTTATGTAATTATTGCTACTACTTTAGAAAATGTTTAAATAATCCAAACACTCTGTAACTATAGATCTATAACGCCATACTCCTTTACACCCAATCCAGGGCAACTTCTAGTGGACGTTCCTATCCATATGATTTTGTCATTTTTTTAAAAAGAATTATTTTATTTAACTTTATTTATTTATTTACAATTAAAGTATGAATTTATTTGGATACAAAAACGTTTTGAAATTCATACATACTTTTCCCATTACATGTATTTCCATGAGCTTTTTTTTGTCTGAAACGTTTTTTTAATTAATTAACTTATATTCATTCCCTAAGCATCATCACAGTATACAAAATGTGATTTCCCATCCAGAATATACTATACTATAATATACTATAATATAATAGTGACTTAATCATGCATATTATCATCAATAATTTTCCATTTCTAGTTTCATATATATATGTGTGTGTGTGTGTATTTTTGTCCCCCTATTTCTGACCCTCTACCCTTCCCCATCCTCCTCCCACACAATCTTAGGTGTCTGCAGTTGTTTTCTATTCCCTTCTTCCCCCACATTTTATTGATCACATAATTTCTTATATAATCTAACTCTCTTAGCTTTGTGGTTATGAATATTCCAAATTCTTTATCAGACATTTCCATGATTTCCATTGAGCTGTCTGTGGATGAAGAGGAGTTATTCTTTCCCCTTGGAGGAGAGGAATTTCCTTGCTTTCCCATATTTCTTGTGACCCTGCAGTGATTTCTAGTCATCTGATGGATGGTGTGTTTCTTCCTAATTCTTTAAGTTCAGTCTGAGTGATCAGGAATGTGCAGAAGGAGGTGATTTAGAATCTCTTTGCTATTCCGTTTTTACCCCTTTGTGCAGCAGATTCAGTGGATATTGAGGACTATGTTAACCCTAGTAGTATTTGGATGTTTGGCTATGGTTTCCTTAGATTCATCACTCAGGTTTGTGGGCTGGAGGCTGAATTATCAGTAGAAAGTATTCATTTCTCTTTTTTCCCTGAAATCACTAGTTCTCAGGAGCCATGGAGGAGTCTTCTGAAGGCCTGCCCCTTGCCTCTCCTGAATGAGCCATATTTATTTATTTTAATTTGACCAGAGAGAAAGAGAGCAAGAGAGAGAGAGAAAGTGAGAAAGCAACCAGCCAAGACTCAGACTTGAACTGTGGTCAGCCGTGTGAGAGTCAAGCACCTTGACCACTGTGCCACTGCTGGCCCTGATTTTGTAAATTTTTTTGAGATTGCTATAGGATAGGACATGTGCACTGGCCAGAAAGACAGAGAGACATAGAGAGACAGAAAGTGAGAAATCACCCCCCTGGGAGGATGGCCACCCCACAATCTCTTCTCCTCCATTCTCTTCTTGGGATCTTTGACACGCACGCACATGCACCCGGCATGAGTTTAAACCACCAGGTCCAGGACTCAGACCATGGTCGACTACGTGGGGATCCAGTGACATAGGCATTACACCATCTGCTGGTCCCAGATTGTGTAAATTTTAAACATTTCATATAAGCAGATTTTTACATTTGTCCTTTTGTGTTTGGTTTATTGCAATACTATAATATATTCACAGTTTATCTGTGTTATATCATGTACAAAATTTTTATGTATGTATGTGTAGCCATCACATTAAAAAAAGAATTATTTATTTAATTTTATTTATTGTTGTTATTTTTAAAATTTGATACGGAGTATATCCACTCATGAGAAAGAGAGAGGGAGAGAAAGAGAAAGTGAGAAAACAAGCCACCAGGCTTGGAACTCAAACCGTGGTTGGCCTTGTGGAAGTCCAGCTCCTTAACTACCATGCCACCTGCCAGGCTCACCTATCAATACTTTAACTGCCAGAATGTCTGATTTGGACTGCTTATTTTTACTATTTATTTACTTATTTTAAGAGTTATTAATTTATTATTATTTTGAATTTTGCTATAGGGCACATGCACTCACCAGAGCGAGAAAGAGAGAAAGCAAGCTGCCAGGTCCAGGACTCAAACCACAGTTGGCCACATGGAAGTCCAGTGCCTTAACATCATGCCACCTGCTGACCTCTTTATTTATTTATTTACTTTAGTTTGCTCTAGTATGTATGAGCTTGCTGGAGAGAGAGAGAGCAAGAAAGAGAGAAATCACCTCCCTTGCCCCCAGGGATGAATACATCACAATCCTTTCTCCTCTGTTATCCTCTCTGAATTTTGGGCACACAGGCGCATATACCTAGGTGTTTTTCAAGCCACTCTGGCCTGAGATTCTAACCCTGCAATCAGCCATGTGGGATCCAGCCACTTTAACTTCCTCATCACTTTCTGGTCCTGGACTTATTCATCACATTAGTGATAATTTTTTTTATAATGTACAATATAGTATTTTAGAGTATGCACGTAGTACATGACAATTAAATCAAAGATACTACTATACATGCCATTTTCAATAGAGAACTTCAAATTATTCTGTCTGTTAAATGTTTTTTTCTTTTGCCATTCCCACCCACCCTCTACCATACACTCTCCTCCCTCATAGTCTCTGGGATCTACATTTATCCTCTCTGCTATCACATCTTTGGATCTTTTTCCACCATAGAGTGTAGACATTAAGTACTTATTGAACACAGTAGTTATATAGTATTTCAAGTCACAAAATAACACATTTTGTTGTATTCAGTAGAACAATTGGAAAAAATAAGCAAAAGTATCACTCATAATCCTGCATGATGAAATAAGTTGACATTTAGGTTAGTGGCCTTCCGGCCTTCTATTGTGTGTGTTACACAAAAAGGATTGTACTATTATTTATTCTGTTATAACCTTAATTTTCCTTTTTTTGGGGGGAGGGGTGGATTTTTGCTACTGGGCTTGTGCACTCACTAGAGAGACAGAGAAATAGAGGCAGAAAGCAAGGAATCACCCATCGGGGGGGGATGGCCATGCCGCAATCCCTTCTCCTCCATTCTCTTCTTGGGTTTTTGAGAATGCACACACACACACGTCCAGCATGAATTTTAAGCTGCAGGGTCCAGGACTCAAACTGCAGTCAACTATATGGTAGTCCAGCAGAATAACTGCTACACTATCTGCTGGTCTCTTGATTTTCTTTTTAACATGTAATAAACATCCTTATAGTATCTTTAACAGCTACATAGCATTCCAGTATATGGATGAACCAAAGTTTTCTTTCTTTAAATTAAACCCCTACTAGATGTTTGTTAAACCCCTATAAGATGATTGTTAGTTAAAAGTTTTATAATTCTAGATAAGTTCAGTATTAGAAATGTCTTAGTTATATTGTTGCACAAAGTCAGAATAATTTTCGTAAAGTAGAATTACTGAGGGGTCAGTAAGTGGTATGGGAGTTGAGTGCTCGACCCTACATGGCCAACCATGGTTTGGGTCTCAGACCTGGTGGCTTGCTTTCTCACTTTCCCTCTCTCTCTCTGTCTCTCTCTTTCTTTTTTTTTTGGAGAGGTTGTTGCTATAGGGCATGTGCGCTCTCCAGACAGACAGAGACAGAGAGACAGTGAGAAATCACCCCCCAGAGGGGGTGGCCACACCGCAATCCCTTCTCCTCCATTCTCCTCTCAGGATCTTGGGCACGCACGCACATGCGCCCGGCGTGAGTTTAAGCCACCGGGTCAGGGACTTGAACTGCGGTCGACTATGTGGGAGTCCAGCGACATAGCCATTATGCTAATTGCTGGTCCCTCTGTCTCTCTCTCTTGGAAGACAGATAATAATAATAATTATTATTTTTAAAAATTTGCTATAGGGCATGAGCATTCACCAGAGAGACAGAGAGAGACAGAGAGAGAAAGTGAGAAAGCAAACCTCCAGGTTCAGGATCTGAACTGC